CCATAGTCCTAAAAGACCTTATATGAAAAAAGATTATATATATATGGGAATCCGGCTCCTCTCCATCTCTTTTCTCTCCATTTTTCCAAAGTTCTAGCTTGGATTAGAGACAAACGTCATAGTTTAAAATTAATGTTTGAGATTTAATTGATTAAAAGAAAGTCCTAATCATAGTTATTTGTTTCCATATATCTATTTCTTAAATATTTTTACAATTTAATAATCCTAGATTTACATTATATTTTTCTTTAAGTATATTTAAAAGAATTTCTTTTCTTAATTACTTGAATAACTTTTTGCTAACTTTTACTTTTTTTCCCATGACGTTTGCCATTTCTCAAGTAATATTGCCAAATAAAAAATTTAAAAAAATTGTGATGTAACATTTTTTTCTAATTTTAGGAGTAAAATGAACTTTGTCACTCAACTTTAAATTCTTTCTTACTCCCTAATTGGAGTCCATATTGCTCTATAGATATTATGGGTCTTAATAATCTATTAGAATAATAAAAACGTTTTAACTTTATTATAATTTTTTTCAAAAACAAAAGTTAATAAAAGTTTAATATATGTATGCGGGTATCAAATAATTTTTTAAAATATATTTAAGGAAAATATAATGGATTGCAAAAATATTTAAGAAGCAAAAATATGAAAGTAAATAACTATGGTTAGAACTTTACTTTAATCAGTTAAATTTTGACCATTAATTTTAAACAATGACATGTGTCTCAAATCCAAGTTAGAACTTGAGGAAAATGGAGAGAAGAGAAATGGGGAGGAGCCGAATCCGTGTGTACGTGCGCGCGTGCGTGCGTGTGAATTACACCACATACGAGCGAGGAAGGCGGGCAAGATTTTATCTATGTATCTCAGATACATGTGAAATCACTTGAATACAATGTATCTATAACAAATTATATTTAATTTTGACCTCGTATATCCCGAGTTAACTATATATCTAAACGTGTTTGGATACATCAAAATCTGATAAGATTCATGATATAAAATAGAGTATATCTAAATAATGAACTCCTAAATTAGTGAGATTTCTACAAATTTCCCTTATTAGTAATACATTTACTTTTAAAAAATTACAACTGATAAACATTTTTCTATTGCATTCAGACCTATATATAATATCATTCTTAATAATAACATTTCATTATTATGTTTATTTTAAACTTCATCTTTCATATTATATTATATTTTATATATTTTCTACGATAATTTACTATAACAATAAAATAAAATAAAAAAGTATCCATAAACGATGCTCTAATTAGGCCTTATATATGCAAAAGTTAGACTATAGTTCAATAAAACGGTAACAATGCCCAAAAATAGTTAGATACAACTCAAAAATATTGTGGACAATTAGGAGTTAAATTATCACTTTCAGTCCAAACATATTGGCCACTTTATTGGGTTTTGTTGGGCTATTATATAGTATACAAAAGTTCCTAAAATAAACTTGTCAGCATTAGTTCAATATATAATACGGAAAAGGGCCTAAAATATCCTTAAATTATTGAAAATGATACAAAATTACCCTTCATCCACCCATTGGCTCCAAAATGCCCTTTTCATCCACCTATTGGCTTCAAAATACCCTTGACATCCTCCTTTGGGTTCAAAATTGACCACTTTTTTAATTGTGTTAAAATTAAACGCTTTAAATATTTTTTAAAATACTTGGCGCTCAATTATTGATTATAATTTTAATTTATTAATATAATTTATAAACCAACCCACTACTCACTCATTACTAACTAAACTTTACCCAATTAATAATACAATTATAATATCAAAATCGTCATAAACACTACTAAAACACGATGAAATTATAGATTTCTGAAAATGACATTCAAAATTATTCAAGTCCGAATCGAAGCCCATATTAAATTTAGGTTGAGCCGCTTATTTAGGAGGACACTTTCTTTCAAAATTGATAAGAAATTTATGATTAAAGGTAAAGAAGTAATACATCCCGAATTAATTCATGCACTTTTTTTTAAATATAATTTTATAAATATTTATGATTTGTTTTAAAACCTTTAATATATTATTTTGAAAAAAAGTTACCTATGAAGTAACATCACATAATTGAGACGTAAGAATAATTAAGATGAACATAGTCAGACTTTCAAGTTATCGGTGGTTTTTACTTAGACACTTGAATGTATGATAATTTACTTCTATAGATATTTTCGCCTCAAATTTTTAAAAACACTCAATTGGCAGTAGCTTGCATTAATAATGTGACGGGTTTATTAATTTAGAGGGGTTTAATTAGTAATGGGTGGGTAGTGGATTGATTTATAAATTATACTAATAAGTTAAATTATAACAAATAGTAGAGCGGCATGTATTTTTAAAAAATATTTAAACAATTTAAATATAAAACTGTTAAATAAGTGGTCAATTTTGAACCAAAAGGTGGATGACAAGGGTATTTTGGACCCAATAGGTGGATGGGAAAGGTATTTTGGAGCCAATAGGTGGATCGAGGGTAATTTTTTACCATTTCTAATACTTTAAGGGTATTTTAGACCCTTTTCCGTATATAATATAATATAATATTATATTTGGAGAAAAATTATTACATATAATATATCAATCTTACATAAAGTGTATAATAGTGTATTAAAAGTGTGTACACAACTATGGATTATATAGTGTGTTTACACAAATTTATAGTTAAGCTCTATAAAGAAAAAATTACAGAGTATGACAAATATCAATATATATTTAAAATAAATAGTTATACTTTAATATTTTTATATTTATAGATATATATACACAATTAATAGCAAATCTAGTGGTATACAAATAATTTGTTATTATATATACATTTATATATAAAAAAAATATTAAATAGGATGCTTATTATTACATAATATTAATTAGTCATACATATTTTCATTTTTCTTAAACAGTTGTAATCATTATTTTTCTTTTTCAATGTTTCTATCTCATCAAATTTGTCATCATCAACTTTTTCTATTTCTTCAAGTTCTCTACATTAATGTTTTTTGATTCATTCCCCAAATTATTTCTTCCGATTTATTATCATTTTGCACGATTTCAAAAAAAAAAAATTGATGGTGTATACCAATTATGTATCACATGATTGTAGTTTTTTCTTGATTCTATGAATATTATATTGATATACATATATATATTTTCATCTATTTCTCATAGGGACTCGATTGAAGATTTTGTTTCTCCATTACAATGGTTGAAAGTGGTACTCCCAAGAAGGTGACAAAATGTATACATTTATTTGACTGCCTTTTTGCTCTTCATTAGTGACGCATTTGCATGTTGATAAATATCTATCGTCTTCGAACTTTTGATAGCATTTTTCTTAGCACTTGCTACTATCTTATCAGTCAGTCTTCTCTTTCTTTTTATTGCATCAATACGAGTGTGAAGTCTCAAAGATGCAATGATACCCCTTTTGTATATCAATGTCTTGATGTCTTCCGCTTAAGAGTTCACCTCAGAAATCAATTTCTCGATGGCTTCGTCTTGAGAGGTACCATCATCACTATCAACCACAGATAAATTTCTTTTAATGGTTGTTGCTCCGATCAAATACTTTTCAAGCTTAGGATCCATTTTTTTTTTCTTTTTCGGGAACAAATTTCATCTCAATCTCAATGATTGAAGGAGCTAACCATGGATAAACAATCTACACGAAAAAATAAATAAGTATGAATAATTTTTCATATATGACAATTGCGTCTATTTTCTGCTGCTGGAAACACAATAAAAATAAAAATTAAGGGTATATAAATATAAAATGAGACTTACACCGCCTCAGAGTCAGAACCCTCATTATTTTCTATGGTGGCATGATTAGCAAGCAATGAATCTTCTATTCTTCTAGGATCCTTTCTTGCAGTAATGGTTCTGTTTCTTCGATAGACATTATCTACACACATGAGACAAAACAAAAATAATATAAATTAATATAACTAATTCTTTAATAACAAAATCGGAAAAGCTCTACTAATTCTATTTTTTCAAGAGTCTCTATAAAATCATTACCAAATCGAATGACGACAACCTCTGTTGAAGAATTCACAAGAGGGGCATCATCTTCCATAACAGTGGGATCACTGGAATTCATTTTATCTACACACATGAGGCTATACACAAATAATAAATTAATATAATTCATTCTTCAACAAAATCGAAAAACAAACTACTTCTTAAGTGATTGATTCATCAACTACATAAATTGTCACTTTTCACTTCAAAAAGATCACATTGAAAGGCAGCGGTTTAGTTTTTGATGAATAACAACTTGTCCTAGTGGTAGTTAGAATATTTAGTTACGAGTTAGTGTAAAACAGAGCTTATAAATATAGCTTCTACTACTGATTGTATTTTTGCTTCAAAAAATTCAAGACAAAATTTTTTTCTCTCAGTCTCCATTAATCTCACAGTTATGAGCTTTCATTTACGTTCATGATTGTTGGGAATAAATCCGTAACAGAAATAATATTTGCAATAATAAAGGCAACAAATGCGGAACACAACAATACGGTTAATCCAACGAGAATAAAAGAGAAATAATGACACCAAGATTTTACGTGAAAACCCTCCTAAATAAGGGAAAAACCACGACCCCAGAGGAGCAACAAATATCACTATAGTAAGGATTTTACACTTGTATGTCTGAGTAAAACCCCAAAGACCACTACACATTCAAAAGAAATAACACTCGTTTGATTTTTCCACCTCACTACAATACCGCTCACACTCTCTATTTTTCCTCACAGATTATTTTCTTCCGTGATGCCTCACTCTTCTTTTCTCTCCTTTGTAATTCTTTTTTGTGGTGTATTTTGAAATGAGCAAGAGCTCTCTATTTATAGGAAAATCTACTCCTAATGATGTCACCAATGACATCACAAGAAACACAAGATTTCAACATTTTCACCTATGTAGAAATCTTGCTAAGATTTTAGTTGAAAAAATAAATGGTGAGCTTTGAATTTCATTGCAACATTTGTTGACTTTAACAATAATCAACAAACAAAATTCAACCATTTTTGCTATGTTTATCTACAATGGGTATGGACTCCACAAATCTCCCCCTCCAGACCCATTACCTAAAGGAGGTAGCTCTAGGTTTCTAGCTTGAGTACATGCTGACAAGTTCTTTGCATAGCTCAAACTTGTCCCTTGCTACCACCTTGGTCAGCATATCTGAAGGGTTTTCACTAGTAGGGATCTTCATGACCTGCATAGATCCATCCTCTATCTTTTCACGAATCCAGTGATATCTCACGTCAATATGCTTCGGCCTTGCATGGTACATGGTGTTCTTGCTCAAGTCTATAGCACTCTGACTGTCACAATAGACGACATACTCAATCTGATGCAATCGAAGTTCTTGAAGAAATCGTTTCAGCCATACCATCTCTTTGCTAGCTTCAGTATCTGCAATATATTCTGCCTCAGTTGTAGAGAGTGCGACACACTTCTGCAACTTTGATTGCCATGATATAGCTCCCCCTGAAAATGTAAACAAATATCCAGTAGTGGATTTTCTATTATCGAGGTCAGCTGCCATATCAGCATCAGTATAGCCCTTCAAGATTGGATCAGATCCTTTAAAACACAAGCAATCTCTTGTGGTACCTCTTAGATACCTGAGTATCCACTTAACTGCATCCCAGTGCTCTTTTCCAGGATTTTAAAGGAATCTACTAACAACACCAACTGCATGAGCAATATCAGGTCTTGTACACACCATCGCATACATCAAACTCCCCACTGCTAAAGAATAAGGAACTTTAGCCATTCCCTCTTTCTCCTCTTTTGTTGTAGGACACATCTATTTGCGCAACTTCAGATGACTCGCAAGAGGTGTGCTAACAGGTTTAGCACTCTTCATGTTGAAGCGTTCTAGTACACGTTCAATGTACCTCTCTTGAGATAGCCATAACTTTCTTTTTGTTCATTCTCAAACAATCTTCATCCCTAGAATTTGTTGTGCTGGGCCCAAGTCTTTCATGTCAAATGACTTGGACAAATCTTTCTTCAATTTTGCAATCAGCTCATTGTCTTGTCCTACAATTAACATGTCATCCACATATAACAACAAAATAATAAAATTGTTGTCAGAAAATCTTTTGAAGTATACACATGGATCAGAATAGGTCTTTGTGTACGTTTGACTTTTCATGAAAGAGTCAAACTTTTTATACCATTGTCTTGGGGCCTGTTTCAACCCATAAAGACTCTTATTCAATTTGCACACCATGTGTTTCTTTCTAGATACTTTAAATCCCTCTGGTTGCTCCATATAAATCTCTTCTTCCAAATCTCCGTGAAGAAATGCAGTTTTTACGTCTAATTACTCTACTTTAAGATCTAGACTAGCTGCTATGCTCAAAATAGTTCGAATAGAAGTCATTTTGACAACAGGTGAAAAATTTTCATCAAAATCAATACCTTTCTTTTGTTCGAAGACTTTTACAACTAATCGAGCTTTGTACCTCACCAACTTGCCATTTCCATCTTTCTTGAGTTTAAAAACCCACTTGCACTTAAGTGGTCTTTTTCTTTTTGGAAGTTCAACTAGCTGGTATGTGCCATTTTTTATGTAGAGATCCCATCTCTTCGTGCATGGCTTTCATCCATTGGCTCTATTCTGGATGAGACAATACCTCCTTAAGACTTTCTGGCTCACCTTCATCATTGATAAGGACTTACTCTGAGGAAGGGTATTTGGTTGATTCTATCCTTTGTCTTTCTGATCTCCTCAGAGGTTGAGATTGTTCTTCTTCTGGGTACTCCATTTGCTCGGTATTATCACCAAGTTGCTCCCCCTGCTCGACAATCTCATCAGGTTGCTCTTCATGCTCAGCAACTTCATCAATCATACTTTCTGCACTTATGAGATGGTTAGAAGAAGAAGGAATGGTAACAAGATTAGGAACTATACCATTCTTTTTCTTGGCCTTCTCGGATAGATCATCAGCAGTTCCATCTTCACTTTCTCAAAAGATTACATCTCTACTTCTGATGACCTTCTTCTTTACAAGATCCCATAGTCTGTACCCGAACTCTTCATCTCCATATGATGAATATGCAAGGAACTGATTTATCATCTAGCTTGGTTCTTTGCTCTTTCGCTACATGTGCAAAAGCTTTGCAAGTGAACACCTTTAGGTGAGAGTAAGACAACTCTTTGTTGGTCTAAACTCTCTCCGGAATGTCAAACTCCAATGGAACTGATGGACTACGATTGATAAGATAACACACTGTCCGAACTGCTTCACCCCAGAATGTCTTGGGTAATTTAGTCATTCTGAGCATGCTTCTCACCTTCTCAACAATGGTGCGCTTCATTCTCTCAGCCACACCATTGTGTTGTGGGGTTCCAGGAACTGTCTTTTCATGTCTAATTCCATGGTTTGAACAGTACTCTTCAGATTCTCTGAAGTGTACTCACCTCCATTGTCGGTTCGGATACGTTTTAGCTTTCGAACTGTCTCTCTTTCTATCAGAGCATGAAACTTTTGAAATACTTGAAACACCTGATCTTTGGTTCTCAAGATATAAACCCACAATTTTCAAGAAGCGTCATCAATAAAGGTAACAAAGTATTTATTACCTCCTATCGATTCTATCTCCATTGGACCACAAACATCAGAATATACCAAATCAAGTATATTTGACTTTCTTTCAGATGATGTCTTAAATGAGACTCTATATTGTTTACCAAATAAGCAGTAGTTAGATTTTATCGTTGTACCTTTGGCAAAAGAGATGAGTGAATTTTTGGAAAGAATTTGCAATCCTTTCTCGCTCATATGACCCATTCTTTTATGCCATAAATCTGCAGAATTTTCTTCGTGAGCCGCATTTAATTCACCTTGGCATATTTCTGCATTTGTCCTGTATAATGTGCCACGATCAACTCCTTTTGCAATCACCAATGCCCCTTTGGTGAGTCTCCATTTTTTATTTGCAAAGTAGTTCTCATATCCATCTTGGTCCAAAGCAATTCCCGAGATCAA